CGTGTCTTTGATAAAACTGAAGATTACACCTAAATCTCAAAATTTTTAGCCATGTACCTCATATCAGAAACGCGAACAATAACCTGGCGACAAAACGAAGCAACAGTTATCACATTCATTCTGAATGATTCAGTTGATATAGTTACGGAAGAAAATTGCGTAGCATGATTCATTCATTTCGCTCAATACCTCCATCCCCACTACTTCATAATGAGCCACATGACACAAGTGCACTATGCCTCTTGTTGCTTGTCACAAATTATAACATATCAATTAAGCAACACTAAACTCCATTTGACAACTTATTAAAGCTCAACTAAAACTATTCAACGTGTTGACATCCTACGGAAAAAAATGATATTAATTTCCCCTCATATTGAACGGTATTCGGTGAAAATGCGAACGATGCGGAAACTGAATAATAATGAAACAACTCAAGGTAATCATGAAATAATTCCGCTGTTATATTTATTAGTTTGATTCGACACATGTTCCATTCGTTGCTGTTTAACAAATGCCAAGAGTCTGTTCGAACCTAATAAAAGTTACAGAGTGATTGTGTTGAGCACATGTTGGACTCGGCGTATTTTGAATACATTAGCGCTGGTGCGCAGCCATCGTCAAACCCATAAGAAGAAACAAAGAATACAAAAAAACGGAACGAAGAGACTTGATATAGATTTGGTACACCGTTACATTTTTAAGCAAGACATATGACAGGCAAAATTCAAAATTATCGTTTGAATCGTGAATACGAAATGCACTAAATTAAATGGAAACAATTATGAAAATGAAATAAGATATTTTTTTCTGCGTTGTGGAAGGTAATACCACATGAATGTTTCGCAATCATCGTCGAATTCATATCATTCTTCACATTCACATAACGCGCCACCGTTGCAAAGTCGTCGCTAATAAATGGTCAAAAAGAAGGAAAAGAAAAACGAACCGTATTTTATATTCACCTATGTCGCATTAGAATAGAAATCCATGCAGAAATGTCGCCAATAAAGCGAAGGTAGAAGAAGCCTGCTCAGCATCGGAATGAAGAGCGCGTGTCAAAAGAGAAATAGAACGAGAAAAAAAAGAGAAGCAAATTTCATTGCCAACTTAATTATGTGGTACGATTTGACTGTGGCTCAGTCTCTACATTTTCAACAATTTCGCAACCGACATGCGAACGAAGCGATAATCAAACGTTTAACAAACAATGAACAATATTTATCATTTAAATTTGCTGTTTGTGATGCGACATCATATATTTTATCGGCAAAATATACTTTGACTGGGACAGAAAGAGAGACAACACTCCATTGGTGTTAGTGGTGTGTCTATAAAAAATGGCAAATGATATTGTAGTGACCTAGGGGCGAGATACAAATTCTATTAGAGTCTAGTTACACTCAATTTTATATATTTTTTGCTTTATGTCCTCTAATTTTTCTAGTTTTGGTGCAAAAGTGCTAATATTGTGCTATTATTTCTAGTAAAATCGCTTGCAGTGCGTATTACACTGTCAATACAACGCTTATGGAAGACGTAACGGGACTTTTTTGTAAACAATAAACAATACGTCCATAAGCGTTAACATTGGCAAACCAAACTCACTAATTTCTTCTATTTCTCCTATTATCGTTGAATAATGTTCTAATTTTACTCATTAAAGTTTCGTGTCTCTCCTTTAGGTAGTGACACACCTAAAAGCCAGCATTTACGAAGATTCATTCGATGAATTTGAGTTAAAATTTCAAACCGGTGTTTTCTTCCATCGTTGTTGATTTGGATGCGGTTGCAAAATGAGTGGGGGTCCCACTTTTGACGGCAATGAAAACAACAATAACGACGATGAGACGATGACAACTGCTCAAGTTGAACGAGACTGATGTGATGAAATATTTGCGGTTCAATGGTGGCAATAATTAAAATAATTTTCCACAGAAAACGACTTCTAGTATTTGTGTGCTGGATGCGTCAGCTCCATTAATTAAATTCTTCCAGATTTCTAGATTTTACCTACGTTCATTCTCTGTGTTTTTTCTTTCTTTTCCATCTTCCCAGAATCAATTACAGAGAAGCGAAACAAGAAAGCGTTTTAAGGCGTTTTTAGTTGTCATCATTTTTCTAATCACATCTGCAGGTGAAAATGGTTTTAAAATAATCATTTGGAAGACAGAAAAAAAAAGAATGTACGCACCTGAACGGAAGAAGACAAATAGAAGTCGACACAGAATGCTGCGAAATGTTATTTAGTTCATGTCTAGACAATGAAGGTTGGCAAAATAAGTAATTATCGATTGATTTAGTTCCTTAATTGACTCAATATGCAAGACTTGCGCCCAATTATAATAAATCATTAGTATTACAATCGTGTGACGCAAATAAGTTCTAACGAATAAAAAATAAACAATACAGAACCAACCTGTGCTTCTCTCCCATAAGAACCAATGTATTTGACGTGACAGTGAATAGCGGTAGCGACTAAATAGGATCTGTGGTATATTTAGCAACTATTCAGCGGCGCGAATTTAAATATTTGACATTTAGTAGTTCAAACTATTTCGCAATAGTACGTAAGTTATAATTGTCACACACAGCGTGCTTGTTACACATTTATATTCTCTTTCGTTATTGAATAAATTATAGTTTTATGAAAATGCCCACAAAACGATATTGCAAAATTAAATTTTGTGAACATGAATTTGGTACTTTTTTTGAAAATATTTCATTCTTCAAGTAAGTTTTAAAATTTTCACACATTTTCCCCAAAACGCAAGTGTATTAAGCAACATTGAATATATCGTTTTGGTTCATTATTGAAAAAAATTGTTTGGATGTTTATTAAAATAAAAAACACATTTACACAGAGTACCTAAAGAAGCTGAATTGAGGAACGTTGACAGAATATCATGTAGTTCTGACAATCAAGCACGCTGTCTAATTAGGCGCTACCGCTATCTCGCGCCGCTCAAAAGTACAAGTTGTACAGAACTGAAATGGACAGACGACTGAGAGAAAGGCGAAAGAAAATGGTCAAAAAGACAATGACTTGCTCAATGAATTTGTTTTCGTTCTTTTCGTTTCGTTTCGTTTCGTTTAACTTCCATAATTTGTTTGAACAAATGGTCTATCACGCGTGTGTTGATGAATTGAACAATAATAAGTCACTTCACTGGCAGCCTTTTCAGCCATCAAGTCAAGTCCTTTCCGTCTTGTATATATCATTATACGCACGTAACAAACTTCGTCCCTCCAAAACAATAGTATTGAAAACAAAATGAATGTTCAACATGCTGTTTCTATAACATAGAGGAATGCACGTTGTGCGTCATACGAACTTGTCGTGTTGCCTTAGTTTCAGCGAATTGTCAACTATAACTAGTTGAACAATTTATTTTAGTTTATTTTCATATGGATTCGGTTTCCTGCATCTTGTTTATCAATGGGTGTATTATTCGGGACAATCGCCTTAATCGTGTTTACATCAGAAATGCTGCATCCATCCAACCCGTTTTTCGTTCAGATACGAACGAAAACGATGATCAAAACGAAATCGTTATTGTTTATGCAATACATTTTCACAATATACATAAAAATTGGTGTTGCAGTGTATTCCCACCTACAATGGTCCCCTTGGTATTCCGACGAAATGAATGCGCACAAGCATTATACAGTTGAACATTTTGTTTCCTTCAAAGCAAAATTTGTTTACAACAATTCTACGAGAACGACAATAAAAAGCGTATTCATCAAAATGACATTTCTACCATATTTCAATAAGTTCTAATTGCTCAGCATGTGTATGTATATGAAGTTTGGGATCAAAAAAAAAAAAACCAACAAAGTTTTGTCGTTTGATAGCTTAAAAAAGTGGCAACCATTATATGCAAGCTTTACATAAGATCTTTTATGGTACTTACTACGCTACGACAATAACACGGAGATGATATGGTGAGAAGTACTACTGTTGCGTTCGAAGTGTTGCGTTGTGTTCACATGCAGTTGTTATGTGTAATGCAATAAGATATGCTGCTCAGATGAAACTCGAAAACGTAACTGATGTTTATATCAAATATATGTATGGTATATGGTACATGTGCATTGCAAAAACGTCGTAGAAGATCTTAGCGTTTTACGCTCGAGTGAATTGTGGTTGAATTTATTTAAAAGCACATCTTTAAGAGCATAAAAGGAGACACAGAGAGACAGAGAGTAAAAAAAGTAAATTGAAAAATAATTTTCATTTAAGTGAGACGGGTGCTGTCATTTATAAAATTCGACTATGCCATCGATATGGAAGGATTTGCTTCTTTTGCGAATGGGTTAGCATTAGAGCTTTATTCGAGCATTGAATGAAGTCAAGTGGGTACTATGTAAATATCGATTTGCGTGTCAAACGACCATGTGATTGACAGCATATTCTCTAATCGATGAAACCAAATTGAATTTACCGTAAATATTCTATCGTTTATCAAATAAAAATTTGTTACGAAAATAAAAAACATTTTTCTTTGTGCTCATTTTCTACTTATATGTATATACATTCAGGATAGAATAGCGAAAAGAAAGAAAATAAACGAGAAAGATTCAAGTGGACATTTTCAAGTTATAATCGATTTTCGACCGAACGAAGCAACGGAACCAACTCCTCCACTTTGAACGTCTGCAACGTTGTATGGCTTACAACCAACTGTTCGATCGGCAAAGTTTTCCATCATGAATGACATTCGGGGTCGACAAACAACTATAGAAGGAGCAAAACAGCGCGTAGTCGCAAACAAAACTCAACGTGAAAAAAAGAAGAATGTAAATATAGGGGAAAGGCATCACTTCACGCGCATGAATCTCTTTCCCTGTGCAAACATCATTGGCGAACAAAATATTGTATGCTCGCATCCGTTACAATCACAGGGCCACTTTCAAACGAAACTGATTATTTAGCACTGAAAAGCACGCGATTCAGTATTGTTTGGATGCTCTTCTGTTCGTAACGCATAAAATAAACAATCCCCAAACAGTGCGCTCTTCCACCGAAGCGATCAAAACCCATCAACAATTGAGATATCAAAGAAATTACGAACAGAGAAATTGTTTATCGTGTAAAAACAAACACTGTAAATAAACGTGCACAATCGGTTTTGATTGTGATTGTGCTTAGAAAAATGGTGAAAAGCGTGTGTGTTTGTCGATGAGAGAGTTAGAGTGAGAAACGGTTGCATTGGCATTATGCAAACTTCGTGAGAAGAAAACAAAAGACATACATCATTAATAACCGTCAAACCTAAATTCGAACTAACATTTGCCCGAAAAAGAGATCATTGACAATTCGGCGAATATTTTGAATGTGGAAATATGAGACGATGCAAAACGGTCAGTGAGCCGTATTAATTGGAAATGAATGCACGTGCTTTCCTAGCCGGAATCAATGTTAATTAATGTGAGAATCGATAACGAATGGAATATCGGCGAAAAATCGAACCTAACACTCAATCAAATAATTTTTTCTTCGATCGTATTCGGCAAATAGCTGGACTCGTTTACTTTTCATGGACCTAGTGACTAGGAAACAATGTGTGTATGTGTGTTTTGTTCAATCGAAAAGTTACAAATAAAAATCACTAAATAAATATATCAAATATCTTGTGTGAGTAAAAAGAGATTAGCAGTGTTACTTACTTACTCCCATTTCTAAATGGACACACTGACACACACACATTCGTACACAGTATGGGAAGCCACGTATTAAATGTAATTGGTCATTTTCAAAGAAAAACAACCTAACTATGAAATACTATCAATTCTGTTCATTCTGACATTGCTTTTATTCATTACAAGGAGATTTCGAATAAAAGTAATTGTGCAAAGAGTGTGTGTGTGTGTGTGTGTGTGTGTGTGTGTGTGCCGAAGCTTTTATTAACTGCTGTGCTGGCCGCTCGTGTGTGTCTTTCTGTCTAAATAAAAATGGTGTGAAGCAAATAAAAACAAACAAAGTTGATTTGTGTTTTTGGTGATCAAGTGAATGCGTTCATTCCATCCAGAGGTGAAAAGCACAACGAAGAAATAGAAATGAAATCAACGTAGCGCGTTGACGCCAGCAATTATGACCCAAAACCATTCGTTTCAGAAACGATTTCAATCCCGTTTTTATTCGTTACTTCTCTGCTTCTATACGTGTATGTGTGTGTGCACTGTGCATTTAAACAGCATAAACGCCAAATAAGAGAAAATAAACATTAGGCGCATAAGATATTTGTTGAAATTTCGGTTACAAGATATTCATCATTGTTTCCCTTGCATCGGTGTATAAAAACGTTTATATATGTGTGTGTATGGAACTCTCATACTCCATCCTAACACCCACTAGATTTCGGCAGTAGCGTTCATATTTCATTTTGATCGTAATGTATCAAAATTATTGCTGACATAATTCACATGGACTTCAAGCGTTGACTCACCGTTGAAACAAATAAAAAGTGAACATAAATCAACCAGGAGGTAAGTAATACAAGGCAAATGCATATATGGTGCTAACATAATGGAATATACGTTAGATGTTTGCAAATCGCATTCACATTCGCATTCAAAAACGTATTTCACGGGTCGGATTATGAATGAAAATGAATGAAAATGAATGAAAACAAACAACGTTATGTTAAAAGCATGAAAATGACAATGACACAATATTACCCGAATGAGAAACCCTACGCTAAAAACAAAGAAAGTGAAATAGACGCGAAGAAATAGGGAGGAACAAAAGAAGAAAGACCGAAGCAAATGCATGCGATTAAACGAAATGCAGATGAACAATATCCATTTACTTATTTGAAATAAAATCAATCAAATCGCATTAAGATTTTCTTCAATTGTAACCGATTAAGTGCGAATATGCACACTCCACCATACCGATGAAATTCAGGTCAGTTGTTTGGCTCGTTCTATGCCTAGTTCTATGCTCATGTAAATCGTGCCAAATATGTTGGCTGGCATTTTAAACGTTGTGCCTGCCGTGTATTTGATTTTCCTTTTCTCATGCGATTCGCTATGAAATGCAAAGTATAACGAACGTAACGTGATATCATTTAACAAATTGAAAATGTGATAATTTTAGAAAATGCATTGCACTTTGCCAAAGTTTGGTATTTTCCACCACCTTATGTCACGACTTGTATACTGTGCACTGTAAACATTTTCGCACACGAAACTGATAAAACGTAATATTTATGCAAATATTTATAAGAAGAAAATGCATAAAGTATTAAGTGGTTTGGTTTCTTCGCAATTTGCAATTATCATGAGACTGGCAGTCTAAAAGAGTTGCAGTAAGAGAGCATGAGAGCAAGGAAAAAAAAACAAAAAGATCAAGAGCTGGAGAGATTATATTAACCGAAACACAAAGCTGTGTGTACAAAGAAGAGCTTGAGAAAGAGCTTGGAATAGCAAGGTAAATCAAAAATGGCGGTATTATCAAAGAAATGAGAACGAGTAAATCATGACCAATGAAACTGAATTAGAACAGCAAGTATCAACCGTGAAGTGAAAATTTAATCAAATTTAAGTTTTGTTTACCTGCATTTTTAGTATCATTTCGATGGCACTTTGCTTTGAAGTTTATTTTCAAATCAACCGAGTTCCCGCTGCTAAGATGTTCTCGCGCTAAACTCGTTCGATTCACCAACAAGTTTGAACAAACTCGATTACTGCCATGGGTGGGTGCATCTCCCACCCTCCCGGAGATGATCTACCTCATTTTGACATCGAATATAATCTTAAACAACTCTGTTTGGAGTTTGTTGCTTGTATTTTGGAAGCAAATAATCAGTCGTCAATTCATCGACCGCAGTAAATAAATCTCGCCAAAAATTTGTTTATTTGGCAGCGATAACCGACGGCATTATTATTCAAACCGCAACGGCAACCAAAGCAACCAAAAATAAAATAAAATAAAGCGTAGATTGTTCTGCGGTACGCAAACCAAAATAAATCAAGGCATTCGATTCACCATTTCCGGAGCACTTTATTTATTTGTATGCTTGAATTTTTTGAATACCGCCGTTACTCCTGTGCGCTGAAACAAATTTCATCGTTCGATGTGCGAACCAGATAAAATTTAATCAATTCGATGTGCCTTGCATCACCGATGCGTTGCCATTCGATAGTCAGCGTGATGTTTTGTGCGTGAATCGTCTAAAATTCAACAGATATGTGAATTTAAGAGAGACAGGAAAAAGCATCAGCAGCAAGTAAGAGTAAAAGTGAATGGTTTTATTGCCTTGCCTCGTCCAGCCTGCTCTGGTCTGATCGGATGTTTTACGGTTGCATTATCGAGGTGCTATTGTATTCTTTTTCGTATAAATTTTGTTGGCAAAAATGTATGGCGGTTTTGGATGTTTGTGTGCCCATGCCTGCCTGCCTGCGCTTTTATATGGTACCTTTGTTATTGTCTAAAATGTAAAATTCTGTTTGTTTCTTTTGATTTATGTTATTAATATATTAATTCTCACATAAAGTGAATAGATAGCGGTATTCGGAAACTTATTTAGAATTGGTCTTACATCTAGCCGCGGTGTTTATTGGCTGCTGTTTACAATGCATTGTGTGCTGTTCACATCGCTATCGTTTGTTCACTTGAGTGCTTAAGCATTCGTTATAGCTTTTTGATTATGGGTACCAGCCAGGAAACTAGGGGGCTGTCGAGCATCGAAAGACTTAGATAGATAGGCGGACAAGATGACAAAACACAATGTGACTTATGAGCAAATATCGGGCACACTTCATACTTCATATGTATAAATGTATATATATAGATAACATGTTGGTTGCGGTTCTCCAAAATGATGGTATGTATATAGGCAATGCACAGGGACAAAATATGATGATTGAGTTGAAAGATATAGTAAAAGTTTGAGAAACTTTTGCGTCGATTTAAGCGCACACAAAACATACCACACGAGAATCTCAACAACAGCCCAACTGAGACTGCGATAAAACAGCCGAAAATTATTTGAATGGCAACAATTTAGCATTCAACACGAAAAATGAACGATAACGCTAAGTGTTTTATGCACAACTCCATATTCGTTCGAGCCCCATTCTTCGAACGTCAATCGAACCGAAGCAAGCTTGCAGACTTGATGCTCGTACATGCTATGAGTTATTTCGCACTTTAGGACGGAATAATCAGCTAAATATATTTTATTCACGATGTACAATTGTACATCGTACATAGATATATACCGATCCTTGTGCTAAAAATGTCTTTGTGCTGTGCACCGTCTTTAATTTATGCGTAACCAAACGAATGAATATTACTCGCACTATTCGAAAAATGCGCCAAAATACATTTGAGCTATGAACTGCGTAAGCCTCAAATCCAAAGCTGGAAACGGGAAACAAAATTCGGAAAAGGAAGGAGAAAGAGAGGAAGCGAGGAAGGGAGAGAGTAAACGAAAAAATCGTCAGCCAAAAATGAACTTTGTATTCCAGGCACAGAGGTGTATTATGCCCATGTAAATTATACAGATCGCAATGATATGTATGTGTATAAATGAACTTGAAATGGAGATTTTTTTCTCTCTCTGCCGTATATACACGAGACCAACGTATATTCGTGTTCCGTTGCTGATACGAGGCACATTATCGCATGCTTTGCGAACGTGGTGCGATGCTGTCAAATCCTCGACAGTAAAAATCGAAGCACATCTCGTCGCACCCGAAGCCGCAAAAACAAATCGACGATGTTAACAGTACACGAAAATTGAAGATAAATGAGTGAAATTGAAGCTAAGTTAGGTGCACCTTGTGTCTTCTTCAATATACTCCTAATCCATCAGCAGATGTACAACTGGGCGCCCAGTTTACATTTTCCTTTCTCTCTTGGCGCTATGCTCACGATGCTCACAACGCTCAGAAAACTTGATCTTGATGTACTCGCTCAACAGGCACTGATTACACACATAGGTTTCAAATCAAAAGCTTCATCAAATCGTTTTCGTTCTCAAATAATTGTTTTCGAAATTTTCCCTTTTTTCACTCTTTTCTCCTTATTTTCACTTGTCATGATTACCCCACATTTTCGTTGCGTTGGTGGTGGATGAACAGAGGAAGCAATTTTAGTTTGTTACGTGACATATTAACCACAATTTCGACGCCGTTTTTTTCATTTTTTTTTTCTTTCTTGCCGACCGATTCTGCTAAACAAATACATCCCCGAATTATAGGCTTTGCATTCGAAAAATTCACACATCGTGGGGAATGGAACGTGAGAATAAAAGCACGACGAAACGATGGAATGGAACGATAAAATGTACAAAAAAACGACTGTAACTACGACAATAGCGGCGACAGTGGTAGTTGATTCGAGAACTGAATGTGTTAAGAGGATGCATAGTTGAATGTATCCACTTTCTGATCATGTATGTACTAAGCTCACAGTTGCTGGGTGAGATTAGTCAACGGATACGGATTGGTTTTCGCAAAGCTCTATTTAAAAAAAATTGAATGTGAAAATCAAGTGAACGAAAGCGAAAGTCGATAGCGTGAACGAACATCTACTTTCTTCCACCAGACACACCGTGGGAGCATGTACATATACCACAGGCGACATCTTTTCAAATAATAATGAACTCACTCATTCACACACAATCGAGCAGTATGTGTTAAAGCAGTATAATGAGTGAGTTGAGTATTACGCGAAGAGATGTCGCCTATGGTATATTGCTCTTTGCTGCCACGGTGTGCCACCAGAGATAGATGATTTTATTGGAGACAAACTGCAAGAAAAGGTAGACAAGGCGAATATATATAGAATATATATATATATATATCTAAGCCCGCTAGCATATCAATTGTACTGCTGCTATACGCGATCGACTTCTGTAAAATATTGGAATTAAGCAAAATGATGAGAAAATGTAACAAATTTTCTACGTAATTGAAGATGCCCGTTTTTCAATATCATTAAACATGATTATGTTGTCGCATGGTTTCCATCCGAAATATATGCCGAACCTAGCCATACACTTCCTCGTTGTCCGCTTTCTTTTCGTCTAGCTGATTTTTTTTTGTTAACGTCATATCAAATAATTTATTGAGAAGCAGCGATGCGATATTTTCGAAACAAGAAGCGCAAGAGAGCGAGCGTAGGGAAAAAAACCAATATGATTGTACTCTGTAGAAAGTCTAAATCAGTTCAGCATTTACCAAAAGCAATGGTTTTGCGATGTGATAGAGTGAAGCTATGAAGATAATGTATTGCATCTGATAATATGGCCGACATGGAAAAAGTCCTATGTTTCAATGCTACACTTAGTAGAAAACGTACAGATTAAATGCGTTCATTGCTGCGACCATCAATGTTTTCCTTAGATCGAGAGATTGTGTACGACCTGCGGCAAGCAATATTCCCGCATTTCTATTTGTACATTTGTTCCGTAGCAATTTGGGTCAATCAATTTCCCAACTGTACGAGACATATCCAACGAAGCCCAACACCGTAA